TATCCTCAAAGTGCTCAAAAATAATAAGTCACATGTCTGGCACAAGTTCCAACATGTTCAGTCAAAGAAACGACAGAGGGAACAGATATCTATCAGTTCATCCGGCGATAGTACAAGTCAACTCCCTACAGCTATTAAAGTTGCTGAACAGTTTCTCTTCACATGCAATAGTGTAGCAGTCACTTATGGAGCATGCCTTATACCGGATAATTGCATACATCATCCCAATGACCTCACATATATAATACCAACATGAGGCGAGGGAAAACACACATTTGCAAACCTTAAATCATTAAGTCTCTTTCAAGTGTAATGGTGCCCGCATTGACTCAAAAGCTTGAAGAACAAAGTTGCAACAGAACAAAGGACCAGATCCTAGCACTGAGTCTATTACATGTCCTTAGTATTGTTGTATCTCTGTTAGTGTTATTTACTTGTAATTCCTACTCAGCTTAATCAGAAGCATTCTGCAGGACATGGTTTGTAAAACCATAAACCTTGTGTTTGTGTTTGGCTAGAGTTAGTCAAAGTGGTGAGCTTTGTAATAGAGTTATTACAAAAAGGCTTGCAATAGAGTTATTGCAAGTAGGTGAGGGATTAAGAGGTTAATTTCTAGATTACAATAGGTTGTAATCTAAAGTTTGCTCAGTTAGTGAAGTTGAAATCCTACGAGTGTGGATCGTGGTTTTAATCCCGTGAGCTAGGAGTTTTTCACGTAAAACACTGTTGTGTCATTTACTTACTGATGTGTGTGTGTTCTGTAGGAATTGTTAGAGAACTAGGTTCTCTATACAGTTTGGTGGACTCTAAGTTTATATCACCCTGCTAGTGGAATTACACTAGATTTATTGTTGTTGTTAAATAAATAAGAAATGTCTTGAAATTTTTGTAAGGTTAGCAATCTTGAAGAATTGTCCTAATAAAAAGAGAATAAAGATTCACAAATCAACGGTTTTTACGGGTTGTTAAAAAGGACTTATTAATTGCTAGCTGTTTAAAGAAAATAAAGCGGCATCATACTGTCACTAGAAAATAAAGGACTTGAGTCGAATATGTGAGGAGCATGCAACCTGATTCTTTGGTGGATGGTATTAATTAATTGTTATATTTTCTTGAAAAATTTCGCACCTGTTACTTTTAGAGAGTCAATATAACACTTAGCATATATGTTATAAAGAATGTTGAACTGTAAAGTTTTCCAAGCTGAATTTATTTTAATTCACGAATCTTTAAATTAATTAAGGTTATCACTGAGAAATGGATGGGTATGCTTCAATTTCCATTTCAACGATGAAAAGAAATTCTGTTCTTTCTTATTTAATTTGCTGCTGCTGCTATTTTGATTTATATTTTCTTTTGTTAAAATAGTTGGTTTTTCTAATTCACTTTTTTTTTTCGTTCCCCCCTTCCATTTTACATGCCAGAGATTTAGAAGCGTCCTCATCTTTTCAAGTTTATATATAAAAAGAAAAAAGAAACAAACCACTCGAACATATTTTAAAGAGTTTAAGTTACATATACCCTTAGTAATAATTTTTTTGTTTTTTATATTATTAGGTCAACAAAAGAATATTTACGGATAAGACTCCTTAAAATATTTATTTGTAATCTTAACAATAAGACATGTTACCTGCAGGTAATGGTGACATAATGATTTAAAATTTTTTTATGCTAACGGTGTATATAATTTAAACTCTATTTTAAATTATTGGCTAATTCACACAGATCACATCCTCATGATAATTGAAAGAGGATATAATATGTGGAGCCATGTATTTTAATCTATTCTTAAGTATAAAACTGGAGCCAATTAATTGGTCATTATTTATGGACAGCAACATATCTAAAAGAACACGCTAATGTCTCACTCATCAATTTATAAACAAATCAACTAGCACCATAATATTAATTAAGGGTTCGCGTAATCTTATCTTTGTTCCATATCTTACTTAAAACTATTGCACGACTTTGAATATATAGATTCCACATATCAAGTTATGAGTACAAAAGAGACGTACCCTTTGTCAAAAAGTTGTACTAACTTAAGAATTGGAGCATACATGCAATTAGGACTAATTCTTTTTTATGTTTGTGCGTTAATATGTCACCAATGAACACACTATATCCTAACGTTTTTAGGATATACTTGTTACCTGCTTCTAAAATTAATTAATTTTGTCTTGAACTTCTAAAATGACAAATAATATAAGACAATTATTTTTTGATGAAACTACGACAGATAATTTAAGACGGAGGAAGTAGTGACTATTTAAAAGAATAATGAAATGAAAGTCAGTTTTTCATCTTAAATTTAGTGGTTGATAAAAATATCAGATAAGTATATATTGAAAAATGGACTAATAATCATTTTCTTATATTACGTAAGAAGTGAACCATCAATTAATTGTGTAGGGTTTCTTAGCTTGCAATTCAATATACAGAAATATCTAATATATGGCCTATTATGAATGCATTTTGTAGAAAGACCGTAACTTAGATGAAGTGCTGGACTAGTGGTATTTAGTTGAGGAAACAAATAATTGGTTAGACTTGAATAAAAGGGATGGCCAACATCAATTCTTAGGAGACAAATAACTATTCATCTTACCTTGACCACGTTGCTGATCAGATTATGCAAATCTGTGGTATAGTAAGGTATCTCTCACGGATTCAGAATTTTAAAGTGATGGGTGCTCGTCCATAAAAAATTCAAAAAAAGAATTTAATTGTGAATGCTCACTCTATATTTATCTAACTATTTTTATATTTGCCTATGTAAATTTACTAAATCTGATTAAAAGTAATGGATGCTCAAGCGCCCATAAGTGTCCATATACATCCGCCACTGCCTACAATATATCAGTGTTACATCTTACAACCGTAGGATGATGTAGTTTCGTAACGCTTAGTATTCACGAAAGTGCTGAGCGTACAAATAAAATCTCATATATTGAAAGTTGATAAGAAGAACAAAATTGCATATAAGAGCTAGCAAATACTCTTAACAGTTTAAGGGTCTAGTCTCTCTTCTCTTTTTTTTTTTCTTCTTTTTTTCTTTTTTTCTTTTTGGTAGAAAATTGTGTGAGTTTAAGTCAAAACAGACAATATATCTTTCAGAAGTGAAGAAAAAAAAAATAGCAAGATTTACAATTGGTAATTGAAAAATAGCTATGGTTTCAAAAGTAATCGATATTTAACCATTTTTTCATGTAAAGATAAAATCTGAACAAAATCATCCTTAAAAATTCGGAAATATTCTAGCATAATATGCTGGAGTTCGAATTTTTTACATATGAGCTTCCAACATAATATGCTGGAATTTCATAATGTGCTTATGTTGGAAGTTTATACGCAGGAGCTCTATAATCCGGCATATTATGCTGGAACTTTCCGTGTTTTAGCAAAACAGTAATTATTTTTCAATAATTTTACAAATGCTGATTATTTTTTGATTATCCGTCCGAAAACTAGCTAGCTCATACTATTTCACCTTTGAGAAGAAAGTAAAATTACCTTTGGCCTGAAGTCGATCCTCTAATTAGGTTAAGGTGAAGGTGACATTATTTGTAAGGTTAGTCATATGTTTGAATCACAAAATAAATAATTGCATGACGGTTTTGGGGGGGGGGGGGGGAGGGGGG